ATATTGAGGGCTCCACAGCTGGTCAGTTTTTTCAGGAGCACTATAGATGGCTGTAGAGTCGTTCATTGGCCTTCTTGCCCCCAGTTCCTCAGGGAGTTCTCTTTGAAGTCTGTGCTAAATCATGTGGGCGCTGGCTCCCTCCCATAGAGGCAGAACCTTGAGCACATGGGCAGCCCAGTGCACTCACGGGCAGCTTTGCAGCTCAGTTCTGGATGTACGCAGTACCGAGGTGTGCTGCTTGTGAAACTGCTCTGGCCTTTACAGGTATGTGAGTAAAGCGGTGGCATAAACCTTGTGCATTTGTTACCCTTTTAAGCTAAAATGCCCATAAAACAGAGCACAGTAATATCCATAATTTCTTCACCTTTTTTGGTTTCTGTGTTACTTTTCTGGTTGTTTTCATTGGTTTGTCAAATATCATAGAACTCTCTGAACTGCTATACTAGAGCCTACCTCACTCACCGTACGCTGTCAATCTGTAGGCTGAGAGACTGAGAGCACTGGAAAACAAGCATAAAGGAAACTTTCTACATCAGATGTCTAGTCATTGAGTTGTTACTACTGGTCAGGAATTTGCCTGCACACTTATTTATTGAGACTAACAAGTCTAATACCATCTTCTTCCGCATAGGCCGATATACCAAACAGATTTGAGATGAAGCTGCACAGAAATAATGTTTTTGAGGAGTCCTACAGAAGAATCATGTCTGTGAAGAGACCCGATGTACTAAAAGCCAGGCTCTGGATTGAATTTGAGTCAGAAAAAGGACTTGACTATGGAGGTGTGGCCAGAGAATGGTTTTTTCTCTTGTCCAAGGAGATGTTTAACCCTTATTATGGTCTCTTTGAATATTCAGCAACGTAAGTGTCCATTAAACTATTTCCATTCCCAAGGGATATATGTTAGATTTTGCGTAAAGGGCAAAGTTACACCAGACAGTCATTAGATCATCCTTCATGGTGCATCAGTATGTGCCCTTAGCAGCTAAATCTGCTCTGTACTAGCAACTCTTGCTTTTCAGAGAACCTTTCAAATTGCAGTGAAATCTCATATGACATTTTCATCATTAAGACAATATTCAGTGTTGCCTTGCAGCAAAACTGCAGTTGAGGCGAGTAATAATAAAGAGTCAGAGAAAAAGCTTGGTTTGTGCCCTCCCACTGCACCATACACCACCTGCCCTCCAGAATGACAGTGCTCCCTTACAGTTAGCTCACCAAGCAGCTTCTCACACACACTATGTAGTGACACAGTGGTGGCCTTACGTGAGGTTAAACTTGGGTTTGTCCAGTGTTAAAATCTTTGAGGAATAAATGAGAGCACGAGTCTCTCGCTTAAAGTATGTCTATTTTACCATGCTGTCAGCAGTCGCACGCTGTGTGCTCAGCTACAGGGGATGGGGCTGCTTCATTGCAGGCGTAGCTCAGGTGGGTTTGTGTCAGTACCGAGCTCACTCCTCTCCAGGAGGTGTTGAACAGATTGTAAGTAGATGGACAAAGACTGTGTAGGGAGAGTTTTCTCGCATTTGTGGCTCAGAAAGGACATGCTCTGCTATTGAAGGGAAACACAACTTCACAACAGTGGCTGGCACAGAATGCCCATCTGTTAGCAGAGCTCACAGGATCCACATTTCTTTTGAAATATTGCTACTCATAGGGATATAGGACACTGTAACTGTTTTAAAGATGATGTTATTTCACTTTAGGTTCAGAAATCTAACAAGTTATTTTAAGAAATAAGAAAACAAAAAATCTACTTAACCCTCCTGTATCTTTCTTCACAGATTAAGCATATACTGCAAAATAACGATACAGCTCTTACACTGGGGTCTTACGTGATGCACTTACACGGCTCCTCATGCTGTGTTACCTACTTACAAGATTGCAGTCCACTGGCAGCTTTTCCAGTATCCATGGGGGTCAGATGGTCTCTAGGCTGTGCTGTCTAAGATGCTAGGAAGAAAATGTTTATTATGCTAGCATGGGCCTACACATAATTTCTCTTCAGTATGGGAATGAATGGGAAATGGCCCCTAGCACAGACTATTTATTAATATAGCTGAATATCTGGTTATGTACTGACTTAGTCATTTAGTTGTTTTTGTTTTTTTCTTTCCCCAAAAAGGGACAACTATACACTTCAGATTAATCCTAATTCAGGTCTTTGTAACGAAGATCATCTCTCGTATTTCACATTCATTGGTCGGGTTGCTGGTCTGGCTGTGTACCATGGGAAGCTCTTGGATGGTGAGTTAATGTGCTGTGTGGCTCTGCTACGGTTACTGGAGGCTTATGAAATGGAATAAATCACTTTGGTGATTCATGCGCTCTGGAGCATGGTGTTTCTGGAGACAAAGTGAGAGAAAGTCATGGCACTGTTGGAAACTGCATTCCTGAGGTGAAAAGTGATTCAATATCAGTGTCTTACTCAACAGATACCTTTCACATAAAGTTTTCTCCTTTCCCCACTCATTAAAACTCCCTAATCAGCACTGCTAAATGATCCCTAACAGACAGGCACCCGATTTACAGCAGCTGTTCCATGCAAGCCTGCAGACAAAGCAGTTGTGTGGGTGTCCTCTGCAGCATGTTTTGATCTGTACGTTTATTGGTGAATGATTTAATGAGAAAATACGATTTCTGCTGAATTTGAAATCCCACACTAAGCAAGCAAACATCATACACTGACCAAATTTAGTTAGCAGCAGTGCAGCACAACAGGAGAGGATGCTTCTGGTAATTAATGGAATCATTATTGTAATTGAAAGGTTGGGCTTTCTGTGCCTAAATAAAAACGAGCCTGCTGCATTAACTTGAGCAGTATGGCAGTGTTAAGTTAAGGAGGTTTCTTTCTTGTGGCATGCTGGGAAATATCTTGGTGTGTTATCCTTGGGCCATCATATCTTTATGTTAGGTGAAAATGTGGAACGGGGAGGTAGCACTTCCTTCTTTTCCAGGCTTCTTCATCAGACCTTTCTACAAGATGATGCTGGGGAAACCAATAACGCTGAAAGACATGGAGTCAGTGGTAAGATAACACTTAAACTGTATCAGCATTAGCAATTCTGTGTTTTTTCCTCAGGAGAAATTTGTAAGAGCTAACAATTTACTGTGTTGCATAGTAATGTGATTACAGGTCAGTTAAAAGTTATGTGTATCTAGAAACATAGCATTGAAGAAAATTACAGAGAAATAAAGTGACCCCTCTTACCCTGCTTTCTAGTAGCTGGGCAAATAAATGTGTTCTCATCTTCTCCGACCCTCTGGAGTTCTAGTTTTCAATGGGTTTATTTGTTAAAGTTAAATTCTACATTTCATGTTCACATTTTCAAGCTTTGTTTAATTAAAATCCGCTGTAGGATAGCGAATACTACAACTCTCTGAAGTGGATCCTGGAAAATGACCCTACAGAGTTGGATCTCATGTTCTGCATAGACGAGGAAAACTTTGGACAGGTATGTGGAGGTTATCCCAGAAGTCCATATTTCCATCTTATCGGTTATTACCACAAGGTAGTTAAATACTGAGCAGTGTCTCAGAGCTGTGAACTGGATCAGGACTGCTGAATGTTAGCGATCAGCACAGGCAGCCTGTGAATATTAACCCTCTTCCCTCTGGAGCTGTCTGAGATTGGGGCTGCCATGGAAGGGAAGGATGTGCCTGTCAGTGAGCAATACAATGTCAGTGCCTGACGCTGAGTGAAATACATACTCCTGGTGAAGTGTTATTCGGTCAGTCCGGAGAAGAGCTTTTCAGCCCCTTCTTTCACAGCTCTATCTCTTAGCTAGTGAATTTGCTGCCTTACTGTACTCAACCACATGTGGTTTAATTCTTAAACATTAGTGACAGCCTGTATCCTGCAATAACATCATGTTGGGGTTTTTTTTTTGAAATACAGACATATCAAGTGGACCTGAAGCCAAACGGGTCAGAAATCATGGTAACGAATGAAAATAAAAGGGAATACATCGAGTAAGTATACTTTCATGGAATTTGTCCTGCATGTGAGAAAGCACAGTTGTGCTTGTCTTAGAACTTGCCCTACTGCGGTTGCTGCAGGTTGTACTACACTAGATCATCTCAGATCCTTTTACAAGGGAATTTTAACACTGTTGTTGTTATTATTGCTGTTATGTTAACAGCATATTAAATAGTAACAGCATTATTAAATCTTACCCTTATCTGCAGAGAGTTTGAATTTTCACCTTTACTGTTGTAGGAATTGCACTGACCAGGGACAGAGTCTGTGATATAATAGGGAGCCATTTTCTAGGCAGGTAGGTGTGAGGGCTGTTCAAGAAGGGTTGGGATCACTCTGAATGACAGACCTTTGCATCTCAATCACCTGATGGAAACAGACTATTCTAGTTGTTATACTTTAAAAAGAAACCAGCAAACCCCACTGAGTTGTAGGTGTAGTCACACATGTCTGTGTCCAACATCCAAATGATGCATTCTGGTGCGTGTGCAGTGCTCATGGGATGCCATGGAGATCATGATGAATTGTTGTCTAACAGAAAACCTGGTGGCTTGTTTGCATTACTTTATTGTGTAATATTTATTGCACGATCAAAGGGAAATGGATAAACTGACTAAATAGCTGCCAATTAAAACTGTGTTACTTCTTTAAGCATTTTGAGACTATCCCACTAGGAATCTTCCACTAACCACGAAATGAACAGTGTCCAGTGCTGTAATGCCACCTTTGAAAATTCAGTTCGTGTGTTTTATGTTTGGCCAATGTAAGAACAAAAATAAAATTATTTCAGTTTTTCCTGAAATCCCCGTAGGGAATGTGTTTCTCCAAAGCCTGGCTCAAAGCACCCAAGTTAGACGAGCCAGTGTCTCTCCAGCATGGCCACCATCCCATCACCCTCTCGGCCAGTTGCACACACCAGACCCAGCACTCAGCACCAGGGTTGCTGTCACACACTGGCCAAACTGATACCAGGGTTAATGCCCTGCTGTCTGACAGTAAAAATTCCTATGATGTAGAAAAGCCATAGAATGTGGAAGTGTGTGTGTAGGATGTGTGGTGTGCCAAAGTGAGGATACTCGTACTGTAACTTGTTTGCAGTCATGTGTGGTTGTGAGAAGGCCAAGTTGTAAACGAGGAGCTGGAACTGTTCGGGTTGTTAGGTCTAATGCTTGGCTCGCCATCCTCTACTGAGTGTGCTTCTGTGGTTTTTTTGTCTGCTCTAGCCTGGTCATCCAGTGGCGGTTTGTGAACAGAGTTCAAAAGCAAATGAATGCTTTCTTGGAGGTAAGGCTCTTTAGCTGCCTTTTCCCCCACAGACAATTTTTATTTAAGCGCAGATGTGTTACACATCAGTGTCTGTGTTAAGAGATAACCACACAAGTGCTGGAATGCTTATGTTTACATTGCCACAACTTTATCTTGTATAAGAATATACATTCTTCCCCTCATGAGAATAAGGTCATTCTCTTTCAAGCTTACATTATTTGAGCTTGAAATAATTTAGTGAATAATTTTGTAATTAGGGACTCAGCAACTCTGTATTTAATTTTCAAAACCCTTCTTCATCTTGTCATTTACTTCAGTTCCCTGAAGCCAAAGGTCCTGTTAGATAAAAACTTTACATGGTATGAGGGTTTTAACCTCGCTTTGCTTTCTGCTTTCCTGTAGGGATTCACAGAGCTTCTCCCTATTGATCTGATTAAAATTTTTGATGAAAATGAACTAGAGGTGAGTTTGTGTAATTGGCGTTCAGAGACCGCAGATCAGTGATGCCCATCACAGAATGATGTGTTGTGTCCTAGGCTCATCTGTGCACTCACAGGTGCTTTGCTTAGTGGGAAATGATATTTTTCTCCCTAATTAATGATCTATTGATCACATAAAAGCAGAAAACCTCGCAGTTATTCAGTGAGGTGATTATGTGCATACATAAGCAGCTTACTGAATTAATGCCATTATGAATTGCATATGGACGTGTATTCGAGCTGCTTAGCTGTTCTCAAGGTCAGACAGCAGGGAGAAAGGGTGATCTTGTTTTGCTGAGGAAGTGTACAGTCTTCAGTTAACACCCCAACAACTTACCTCCCTGTGCAGCTGCTGATGTGTGGCCTTGGCGATGTTGATGTTAATGATTGGAGACAACATACGATCTACAAGAATGGTTACTGCCCAAATCATCCCATCATCCAGTGGTTCTGGAAGGTAATACGCTTTACCGCATTTGGCTTCTCTATTCCCGAGAGTTCCTGTGTTGTTTTGCAGGGTCTGTTACAAAATCCTTTTCTTTCATGAGAACTGCTGAAGGTAGCACCTGTGGATGTAGAAAGGACAGCTGTGTCACTCACTAGAGCCTACAGCGGAGATAGACCCAAGAGATTAAGTCGTTTCTTCGGCTTTATCTAAAGTGTCTTGCAGAATTTGTAAACTAAAATACTTTTATGAGAAGTGTATGGCTCCAGGAAAACTGCTAAAATACTTTTCCCATAACAGCTGTAGATTTTTCTGGTTTTCTTAAAAATACCAGAGTCTTACAGCTTCATGTATGCACTTCGAACCTTGTTTCTGGGTTTCTTATCTCCATTTTCATGCCTGTGGGTAGTGTACGTGTCAATCCCAATGGTGATACGGTCCCGAGAGTCAGAGCTTGATCTGATCGATTGTGAAACCTTGCAGTCTGATGGATCTTCCAGGCCTTTCTGTCACCTGTTTCTCTGCCCCTCAGGATATTTCCAATTGTACTGTACCTGTTGTGCCCCAGGCAGGCACATGTCTCAGGCCCTACCCAAAGGCAAGGCACCTCACCCCTTTGTTACTCCCAGCGATTGTCCTTGCTGCGGCCCAGCTGGAGAGGGCTGCTCCTTGCTTAACCAGGGGAAATCTGGTTTCAGAGCTGTCTGTCTGTTACAGCCCCATACAGTTTGCTCCCTAGCCATGACTACAGCTGCAAAAGCAACAGACAGTGACCATGTATGTTTGTCACCAGGCTGTTTTACTGATGGATGCTGAAAAACGGATTCGGTTGCTGCAGTTTGTTACTGGGACGTCACGTGTGCCTATGAACGGATTTGCTGAACTTTATGGTGAGCCACCCTTTCAGCTGCCCGCAGATTAGCTCACTGCTAGAGCGGCTGTGCAGAGGCTGCAGAATATGGACAGCGACCCTGGGCACGGCAGAAATCTGATCATAGCCAGCATTTGCCTGTGCGTAAGAATTCTGGATGCCAGGAGCAGTGGAGAATTGGGGGGCACACTGAGGAGTAAAGCTGGGTACACCATGTTTGTTACATAGGTGTTCTCCACAGAAAACATTTCAGCTATCAACAGAGTAATACAGTAACAACAGTTGTATGGAGAGGAGAAGAACCAAGCACTTCAACTTCTAAATGTTGATGTCCGCACTGACTTCTCTTGCACTGCACATACTCTGTGCAGAGGCAGCTAGACAAACTTACCAAGCTCACCAGACATGGAAATAACTGACCACATCCCTGTTTGCTCTAGTGTAGCTTTAATGGAGAGAGTTTGTACCAGGTATTCTGTACCAGTTGACAAATCGAACCTACAATTGATGCAGACATTTAGTATTAAAAATGGTATTTTATTTGTAAGTCTCTGTGGTGTCCAGCAATTTACATTTCATATGCTCTTCCTTTGCACCCAGGTTCAAATGGTCCTCAGCTGTTTACAATAGAGC